ACATAGAAAACACACTTAGACCACACAGACAACATAAACGCAGAGAAAGATGTAGATGTTGGGGTGATCCGAACAAGACTTTAAAATAACTGTGATTTATAGTCAAGAAATGAGATGATACATGGAGATTTTCTGAAGAAAATTGAACCCAGGTGTTGTGAATTAAACTGTATCCTCCAAAAATATATATTCAAGTCCTACCCTCGCTGGGTACCTGAGAGTATGACTTATCTGGAAGTAGGGTGTTTGCAGATATAATTTTAAGATGAGGTCACACTGGACTAGATAGGGTTAGCCTTAATGCAATGACTAATATTCTTGTTAGAGAATTTGCAGGCTGGGAGAAGCCCCTGTGACAAGAGGCAGAGATTGGGGAATAGTCAAGGAACACAATTGCTGGTAACCACCAAAACTAGAACAGACAAGGAAGGATTCTTTCTCCGAGACATCAGAGGTAGTGCAGCCTTGCTAATACATTGATTTTGATTTGTTGCCTCCACTACGGGGAGCAAATTATTTTAATTAAATGAAAATTTTAGAATTAAAACTTCTCAACTTGTTAAGAACATAAGTAATGTTTAACAACAAGTTAGACTTAGACGAAGAAAAACAGTGAATTGGGAAAAACATAATAAGGACTATCAAGACATCTAAGAAGGAAGGTGGATTAAATAAAATTCAATTTTTACTAATGATTTAAAAATATTTATAGTAAACCTGAAGTAAATGGCAGCTCACCTAATTTAATAAAGAATATGCACCAAAAAAATCAGTATTTTAATGGAGAAATATTGAGAGCTTTCTCTCAGATGTTGGAAATGAAAAGGATACCCTCTGATCCCAATTTTATTGTGTTGTATTTTCCAATGATTAAAAAATAAGCTTATCTAAAAGCAAGCAACAAGGCAAGAAAGGAATGAAGTACATAAAGATTAGAAAGAAAATCATACAATGCATTGTTTGCAAACAGCATTCTTTTGTATGTAGAAAATTAAAAGAATTTACATTTTTAAATTAGCATAGATAAATTTACTAAGGTCAGAAGGTATTTATAAAAATCCAACAACAAACTCAGTAAATGAAATTAGATACCATTTAAAATATAAGCAAAAACCTGAAAACATCTCATGATGTATGTGCAAGAATTTTTACACAAAAATTAAAAAAAAAAACACCTAAGCTTCCTTAATGCATCTGCCCACACCAGAATAAGAGAGTAGGCTTAGTGCAGAGGGAGCTCAGTAGCTCCAGGAATTGCTTTTTGAATGGTAAATATCTCTGCTGCAAAAGAGGAGGCATTGATTGATAATAAACAGGGCCTGTGACTGTTATTGAGACTTACAGAGACAACAAAGAAAACCACACATGAACACAGATACCTCAGATGGTGGGACCTGCTTTGTCCTTCGTGGCAGATCGAAGGGCAGCTTCAGTAACTCCTGCAGCCTTCTGATCAGCAAGTAATTTGGCAAGAGCAATATTTTCAAGTGTGAAATAAGCTTTTTCCCAAATCCCATAAAAAACTGGGCCAAACGGCCCATAAAAAACGGCCTCTTTTTTAGTGCTAAGAGCTGTAAGACATATTATCTTGACCTTTCTGTTGGAGAAAATACCCCATTCCTGCCCGAGATCCAGTGTGACCAAACTTTTATTGTAGGGCTCAGTTAGTAAATGTGTCAGGACCTGATAGGCTTGTGGGTCAGATGGTCTCTGACAAAATTACTCATCTCTCTGCCAATGTAGCACAAAAGCAGCCATAGATAAAACATAAATGGACATGGCTACATACCAATTAAAGATTACAAAAACAGGCAGAATGCCAGATTTGACCCATGTACCCTCATTTGCTGACCAAGATAATGGACCTTGGCCTTCCCGGTGGTGCAGCGGGTTGAGGCCAGCGCTGTGAAGCTGTTCGCAGCCTCTGCAGCGCCAGTTCAATTCCCGGCTGGCCAGAGAGATTCCCACATGGAGAGGCAGACCTCTCCTGTCTCGCCCAAGACTCCCCTCAGCAGTATACTTCTATCCTTCTGCCTGTTCTGCTCCCCACTCTGTCTCTGGTGAATTCTCTCCCCCTCCCGCACCTTTGGCCTGTACCCCAGTGCTTGTATAAATAAATCTTTAAAAAAAAAGATATTGGACCCTAAAAATCTTTTGATGGGGTAGAATAGTGAATTCTTCCTCCCTCCAGCGTAAATGTCTTCCTAGAGCTTCCAAAGTATTCCCTACCTCCTTTCCACCAAGATCAGTAAACATGTCATCAATACAGAGGGTGATGTGAGCTGATCAATAGCTATTCAGATTAGACTGTAGCAGAGAGCAGGGGAGTTTGAGATACTATAGCCCTGGAAAGACAGGGCTTTCTGATATCCACACTGAGAAGATAAAATGTTTAATTTCCCACTTGATGCTGATTGTAAAGGTATTTTTCTGGTCAGGAGCTTCCAAAGTGCCTGAGGTATGATATTCTATTCTATATACTACATCATACATTAAGCACTAAGCTGTAACGGTTAAGTTTCTGGCCACCCATCATGACCAGAATCTATCAGCTGTTTGCTGGCACCAGATAAGGCAGTTTAAAAGGGCATATGCTTGCTTTTTGTCTCCATCAATGACCCTAACCTCAGATGTACACACATTGCAGTCTTTCTTCACATGCCATCTTGGTGCATGGGGAGTATGTGCCATTTGAAGTTCCTCTTGGCCTTTCTTTCCTAACATTATGGATCTTACTTTCATAAGCTTGGGGCCCAGTGTTGGGCTTTCTATTGTATTCCTTCCTGCTAATCAGAGAACTATCTTGAAGGGTCTGCACACCTGTTTGACCCACAAGAAACTGAACTTAGCCATGGAGTCCATTTGTCACCTGGCTTTCCTGTCAAACAGAAACCACAATAGCTTTCTTAGATCCTCTGGTATCAATGTCAAATCATCCCCCATATCCAAGTCCTCAGGAGACATGGGTCCTTTTCTATCCGCTATCAGAGGGGAAGATTTAGTGTTTATTAACACAACAGCTGCAAAACTACTAGTCCCTTTCTCCATTTCAATTATCTCTGGGTCTGAGACCTGGCCGTTTTGGAAATACAGAACCAGGATCCTAATTTCCAGTTTTCCGCTTATATAGGTAGTTAAAGCAGGGAGCAGAAAACTCACCAACCTTTCAGTTCTTCAGGTTTTGCTGCCCTCACACCTGACTACTACCACCTTGTCACTGCTCTTCTGGAGTCACTTTATCCCTGTTTTCTCCTACTGCCAAGCCTGGCTGTAAGAACACTCACTTGCACATTCCCTATCAACGCAGCAAAGGTGTGTCATTGGCCCTTCCCGGGAAGGTTTCTCAGTTGGTCCTTGGGCTTCATATACTTAATCTTTCCACACACCCAGCTCTCCAGTCTTGATGTCTCAACACTCAACATCTTTATCTCCCATTGGCTGCTGTCTCAAGCTTCAACAGTCAACTTCAAATCAGGATGGCCTGAGACATTTTGCTTCTAAATCCTGAATCACTGAGACATGGCCCCTGCCATTTCACTCAACCCTCCCGCCCAGCATTCTCATGATCCCTCACCCCCACATCTATGTGTATGTGAGGTTTATTTTCATAAAATGTCTTCTTCCAGTGGGGATTTTGCACTCTATATCAGTCAGCTCCTGGTACTAGTTTCCTGGAAGTCAGCACACTTTTGAGGGGTCAAAGTAAACATTTGAGGTTTTGCAGAATAAGTTTGAAATGTTCACTAAATCTTTTTCTAAGTAGAATTTTGTACTACAGGTGTAGCGAATTGAATTCATTTGGGGGTTATTTTTCTCCCTCAGAAGAACCTGGTCTTGAAATTGATTCCTCTATAGAAACCATTGGTACATTAACCTAAGTGACAAGTTGGATTATTCTTACTAGTAGTTTGGCAACCCATTCTGGAAACAAGTTGGAACAGACGTTTGAGGGGCAGTTTCCATTTTGCAAACCACCTCAGATGAGGCCTCTATTCTTTTTCCTAGTTGAGGGGACCAGATAAATACACTTCAGGGACACTGCATTTATTCACATTGCCCCAAGATTCCCATGGTTCCTGGGCTCATAGATCGGGACCACAAAGCAAACTTACATGGAGGTGCATGTACTGAAATGTCACTGCCGACTATTATCTTGGCCTCATTTTCCCATCACCCATAATATAACTGCAAGAAGCCCCAAGCAGTTTCTCTGGGTCCTCCTCACAACCTGCAAGTTTCTACTGCCCCCATGGACTGTTGCCTAAAATTTGGAATACACTGGGCCTGTGGGGTTGGCAAGGACCAGTCATTTTTGGGGTGATCTGGCTGCCTAACTCAGGCCACTTGAGGCTGTACATCGGTGCAGAAGATGGGAAGACAGTTAAGGCCTATGATGTTCAATGAAGTCAGTGAGAATCTACCTACATATACTTACCAATAGAGCCTTTTATGAGGCCAGTCCCCTGAAATACCAGATGAGAATCCTTAAACTGGTGAAATTATGGTATGTGGGCTATTTTATTGGTCATCGAAGACAAGTGGGAAGATGGGGAAATTACCAGTAACTAGCAGTCTCCTTTAAAAAAATAAACTCCATTCACATTTTAAAATCTTGATGGTTTTTTTATTTAGTGTATGTCATAAGGTCAAAGTGATGGTAAATGCTGTTGTGAAGAGCCATCTGGAATTTGGACATTGCTTTCTACTGTTAAATGGATGACATTTGCTTTCTACTGTTAAATGGATGACAGTTTACTATTAACAATTTGCAAATAGGTCTCAAGCAGAGAATAACCACCTGTAATTCCTAACTCAGGAGTGTACTTTATAGAAATAATCAACTCTAGCATAAAGGAAGAGCAGGACATCACAAATGGCTTATGAACAGAGCATGAGTCACAGGAGGCTGGGATTGTGTGCTTCTACTTTCATACTTTCTAGAATGTTGCTGGTCACCACTTCCACCATTTGTACACGGAACCTCTTTCTTTCATCTGATTTTTAATTTAGCCTCATTGTAAGAATGTAAGGGAAATCAAATTTCATGTGCAAAGCTATTTTGAAATCCACACATAAGTGTTAAAATGAATTTTCTTCAGTCACTCATTTCTTGCTTTTTGGTGAGTAGATAGTCTGTGCCAGTTATTGTGAAAAAATCTTTATTTTAAGAAAAAAATTTAGTTAACAAAAAACCAACACTTTCTTAGCATCACACCGAAAAAGGAATCACAGTACAAAGAAAGTTTAAGTCAAGGCCTCACCAATTCCTACAGTATTAGTATTGTGTCTCAATTTCAAAACTAACTTTTAAAAAGCTTAAACTTAACCTAAAAGATTTTAAATGAAAATAAACTAGAATGAACAAACACGAGAAATGTTCCTTTTTGAATTAGGGATCTAGCACCTTGAGTTCTCCAAAAAAAAAACAACCAAAAAAGCTCCCCCCAATGTGTTCTTGGTGATGTGGTGTAAAAGATCCACATTTAACATATTCAAAGCTACTTTAACTCAAGATTACAGGACTCTGAAGCTACCAACATGTTGAGAAAAGCTGAAAATAGTTTGTTTACTCAATATCACATGCTAGAAGAAAGTTTGCATGAGAAAACACTGAAGAGGTAATTTTTTAATCCAGATTTCACAAACTCATGGTGCAAAATGGGTCCCAACGGTTCCGCTAGAGTAATAACTGCTTTTCATTGCCTTGTTGCTGCCTGTGAAAATTTGAAAGAACTCAAAAGCTCCTACAAAACTAGTCATATCCACCCATGCTGTTCTGGCCACTGTAGCCAGCCCCGTAACAGCCACTCACAGATTGGCTCTCAAGGCCACTGTAAGTAGACTGGGTCGACACCCCCATGCCTTGCATCATCTGGCTGCTATATGCCCCATTGCTGGCCCCTGTTGTGGAATTCAAGAAGAGTTCTATGTATCTGTGTTGCATGTTGGCCCTGTCTTTGGACATAGCTGCCACGGCTTCTTCGTGAGTGGCAAACTCAACATCAGCTTCACCCGTCACTCTTCCATCAGGGCCAATCTCAATATGAACTCTAACGGGGTTGAGTGGAGAGAAGAAGTTGTAAATGTCGTTCTCAGTGGCTTTGTATGGCAGCCCTCTCATGTGGACACAGTGCCCAGTGGTGCTCTGGACAGTAAACTCGCCATCTCCATATCTGTGATCATACATCCCGGAGAGACAGTAACTGAGGTCTCTCCCAAACAGATCGGTGGTGAAGCCGTAGCCATCGCTGAGGCCGCTGTACTCCTCATAGCCCCCGTAGCCTGCACTGTAGGCACCCGATCTCATCCTATCCAGGCCTGCTTGTTTGACAATACCAATGTATCTCCTGGCTGTACCAGGCCGGTCATAGGGCCCTGGCCGCTGCACAGACATGAACTTCAGAGGGGGATCTGAGTATGATCTAACTTCTTCCTGACTGCTCTTGAACACTTCAATATACCTGTGCCCTATTCTCTCCTTGTGCTTTCCCAGAGCCTTCTCAGCTAACTCCTGTGAAGCAAACTGCACAAAGGCTTCCCCTGTAATCTTGCCCTCGGGGTCCACAGGCAATGTGATCCCGTTTGGCACAATTTCCAACCCTGAAAAGAACTGGACAATTTCTTCCTTGGTGCATCCAAACGGGAGTCCTCGAAGCCGCACAAAGCCATCATTGGCAGTGTCGGCACTGTTTGGACCACTGTGCTTCAGCACCCAATCCATCTCGGTTCTGTGGGACTTGAACACCTCAATGTACCGGTGCCCCATGCTTTCCCTGTCTTTTTTCAGGGCCAATTTTACATCATCTTCTGATTCGAGTTCAACAAAAGCCTCACCACTCTGCCTGCCTTCTCTAGTGTAGATAAAATGAACGCCTGCGGCCCCATCATGAATCGTGCAGTCGGAGAGGAAATTCTGCACATCCTCAACAGAGCAGGACCAGGGCAGGCCACGGAGCTTGACCACAAAGCCTTCACCTCCCTCGGGGCCCAGCATCATGGACACTTGACAGGGCAGATGTCAAACAAGCTTGGGTGCAGATTTTTGTGGCTGAAAAAAAAGCAAAAACTACTTTACATAAAAGTTTCCATTTAATATGAATTAAAAGAATATGCAATAAATATAGTTTTCCTCATTTTGCAGATGAGGAAGGATGAGTGAAATATGAAAACTGACATTATTTGCAGTCTAAAAAGAACCAAGCATGAGTTTTAAAAAAGTGAACTAGAATGGTAAAATTTGAACAAAATGATGATCTGGAAATTTCAGTAAATAAGCAAAATCTATAAATTCTTTTGGCTAATTATAAGTTCTAGAGAATAAGACAAGAGAATGAACTGAGACAGCATTCAGAAATAGAAAGACACTGTTTTAGAATTGGTGAAAAATATAAATTGTATTATTGCATGGCTAAGTAAAAGGCAGGAGGATACGGTAACTTGGTGCCTTGAATGTAAAGATAGCAACTTAGAGCAAGGGCACACTATCTTAAATTTTATTTAGCCCAGATAATGTATCATGATGAATTTTGATGTTTTTCTCTTTTTTTTAAACAAGTATTCCCTTCAGATGATTCTTAAACAAAAGCCAATTTGCATGGTTGTGGCAAGATACTATAGAAGTGAAAATAAGTGAAATCTAGTCATTTTATTCCTAAGCTGTCAATTCAAATACCATCAGTCAAGTATAAGGCTAAACTGGTGACATACCTAGACAAATAGACAAATCCATCAGAAGAATTAGTTATAAACACTACAGACACAGAACTCAAACTAGATGCTTCTGTTCACATATAAAGGAAAGGAACAATATAAAACATATTCATCACTGTTTTGTTGAGGGACTGGAAGGGAAAGAACACCTCCAACTACAAGAAGGGTGAGAGGCACTCTTCTTGAAAGGTGTCATGGAAATGTTGGTACCTTGCACCCCGAAGAATCCAAACTGAAAAGAGATAAGTAAAGGTCAAATCCATGTGAAGTCTTCAGAAAGAGTAGAATTGAGTCAGATACCAATACATGCATTCGAGATAATAAAAACAATGCAGTACAGGGCCAGATTTTTTTTTTTTTTCAGTGATCTATGTAAGAGAAAGCACTCAAAATGAGCATGAGTATATGCAAAGTAAATGTTCCATAGAAGTCACCACTTCCTATCAAGTGCAATAGATGTAGTAGCCATTAAAATCAGTTGTAAGAGATGTGAGAAAAGAAATATGAGGAGACACTGGTTATACAGAAAAAGAAAATACAAGCTTGAATACAATCAGATGAATTACAAAGATATCCCAGATGGAAAGGGGGTATATTTACACTATTAGAGGATCTAACTATAGGCAGATATAAAGAGCTTCTAAAATATTTATTCCAAAACCAAAAATCCCACAATTTAACAGAAAGCAGGAAAAACAAATTGGTAATGTGAAATTCTCAGTGAGTTACCATTTGCAGTCAAAATTTCAACAACTGACCTAAAATAATTTAAATATTTAAGGTAGTCATTATATTTAGTGCCTAATCAATACTACTGCCAATGTGTGAAAAGATAATTTTGTAATGCTAATTTCAGTTTATCTCCACAATAAATGGAATTTGCATGCATTGGAGCCTTGATTTATTGTATGCCCAGAAAAACAGCTTTGGAAAATTGTAAGTATCTGACTAGTTCTGTAGCTGTGCTGAGTGGTTAAGTAGCACACAGCTAGGTAAAAAGGGTTTATTTTGCACCACAGGTTATTGTTACAGGGTGCAAGCACGTGCACTGTAGGATTTGGGGAGTATCTCTGGCCTCTATCTACTAAATTCCAGTAGCATCTCCACCCCAGATGTGATAAACTGTCTTCAGACATGCCCAAATGTATGAGGGGTTATGTGTGTTAACTGCCTTCAGTTGGAAAACTACTATAGTCACCAACCTTTTAAAGCAAGCCCTCCATAGTGCCTACAATTCCACGACTCCTTCCAAAGTCTTTTAGATATCCGTGGAAACCTTACATATTCTAATCTAGCCTTACCTTCCAGTTGATCATCTACTTCAAAGAGGAATGGGGACCAATGAAGCAAACTGCCAAGGTCCTAAGAATTTATAAGTAAGAACAGCTTTTCCTGATAGCTTGTATCATCATATACATACAGCTCTGGCCCCAATTTCCACTGAAAACTTTTTCTTTAGCAACTAATTATGTACTTTTAACCATTTCCATAAATATGTACCTTAGCTGAGGCCAATTCTGCTTGTACCTAACTTGCTGGTAGTTTTCACTTTCAGTTAAATCTCATCACAAGCTCTCTATCACCTGGACTCCCTACCATTAAAAAGGCATTGGATCCACTCTGAGAAGGCCCTCCGTGGCAAAGAGAATGAGTCCTTTCCTACCTTCATCTTGTTTCCACAGCAGAATTTATACCCTCTGGAAATCCTTTCTCCTTTGCCTTCTGTGATGCAAATTTATCCTGCTTTTCCTAGTTAATTCCTCAAGACACTCAGCCTTTTCCTGTTTGGCTCACAAAATGCTTTTTCCCTGAGCCCTTACAAAACTCTACTCCACAGCTCCTTCTATGCATCACAACTGACAGCATTTCCCCTCTAAAACTCTTCTATAAGCACTTCAGCAGTATAAATGGCCTTACCTGAAATCCAGAGCTCTAGAAGGAAACAGAAGTAATCCTAAACAACTTCTCCTAAGACCTCAAATCCAATGAAACCATCAAATCTCTGGATGATCCTATCTCCACCCTAAACCCTATTCAGTTGCCAGTGTACTATATTGCAAAGCATTATCTCAATAAATTACTTCCTTTGTGATTTGCATCATCAAATTGTGGTTTTTGGAGGCCTCCCTGGTGGCCTAGGGGTTAAGTCTCAGCGCTGTCACCACTAATGCCTGAGTTCAATCTCCAGGCCAGGAAGCTAACCCACATAGGTCACAACAGACCTCTCCTTTCTCTCCTGTTGCTCCGCTTAACAGCATGTAGTGTATTTCAGTAAATTTGCCTGTACTGCCCCAACCCCCCCCCCCCCCCCGTGAATCCTCTCACCCCTCCCCAAGCACCTCTGGTCTACATCAGTTATTTTATGCAAAAAAATCATGGGTTTTTTTCCTCCAATTCCTTCACATCCCTATTTCCCCTTACTACTTTCAAATTCCACTCCCAACAACATATACTCCTGATTTTTAAACTCCTCTAAGCACAATGGCTAGACCTGATTATATACCACTCTGCAGATCCAGTGTTCTTTTAGTGACTATGCCACTCACCCTCACCCTCCTAAGGCCTTCAAGAATTCCACTAGCAATGGAACACAAACCAGTGTTAAGGGGATGCTCAGGTCTTAAAACTTTGGCCTGCAACATACTAGCTCATATCAACTCTTTTTCATTTTGAAATCTCCTTTATCCCTATACTTCTCTGCTCCCTAAACTTAATCCCAATAATCCTTAGAGTCTGAGCTCAAATACTACATTTAAAAGTGTTTCTCTTTCTACAAATTAATCCTATGGTTCTATGCTCCCATAGCATCCTTACCCTGATTTGTTTATAACTCTTCAAAATGGCAGTAAGAGCCTACAGAGCCTACCACTAGAAACAGCCTGCATCTGTTCTGGTTACTATGGCCCCACCCTCAGTACAGGGCCCAGATTAGCGAGAGAGATTAACTGAGGACCTTGTAAGGTCAACACCTCCCTCTAGAATATGGTAGCCTAGATAGGCTGAAAGATATCAGGAAGGATAAAAAAACAAGTATTTCATGGGAAAGAGCATTTTCCTCCACGTTTCCTTCAGAACATTTACTGCCTATTTTTATTCCAGAATAAGTTTTCCCTTCCATTTCTCAACTTCTAAGACTTTTAATTTCTTGTTCTTCTCAACTTCCAATGGAACTCAAATTTTTTGACAACAATGCAACATCCCATTTTCCCCTCAGAATCCTATACATTTGGATACTTTGCAGAAACTTAATGGTTCTCAGGATGTTAAAACACAAAAGAAAAGAGCTCTGTGGAGTACTGCTAAACTTTAGATTTAGGAGACAGAAAATTCTATTATCACACTTCTAAGAAAAATTTGAACTTGAATAAATCAAATATAAACTGATAAATTTTTCTTAAAATAGCTCACCTTAAAGCACAAGCGAGGATGCCCAACACGAAGACACTTCTGGCAGGCAACGGGAATTGTCCTAAAAAAGAGCGATACAGCAGTCTTGCCTCAGTGCCCCAGCACTCAAGAGTACTGCAGGCAGGGATTTCCCCTGGCCAGATTCTGAGCTTCCTTGGGGTGGGGGAGAGGGGTGGGAAAGCAGGGCTTGGGTAGGAAGAGGATTTTTATAGCCATGGGGCAGCCCTAATAAAAGTACACACCCATTCTGCTCTCTCCAAATTTAAAAGGTTTGTCTTTTCAAAGGGTAGTAGTAATTCCATTTACCTGTACTAGAGATTTAACTAAATCCATCAGCTTCCATAGTGAAACTCTGAAGTATGGAATTTTAATCTCAATTGAGGGCAAGGAAAGGAGGGCTCAAGTGCTAGGTAGAAATTTCACTAAAAATTGTTCAATAGGATTACAAAAATTTCAGGAGAGGGGGATGCAGGCAAACTAGCTTCCTCAGTTTTACTGGTAGCTTCATTTCATTTTTTGACAACTATTTGACATGACATTGACCTTTTAACTACATGACAGAAAATAAGCAGAGAAAACGTTAATATGAAAACATCACTATGTGGACCTCCCCAGTGGCGCCACAAAGCTGTCCCTTTGCAGCGCAGGTTTGATTCCCTGCTGGCCAGGGAGATTCCCACATGGCGCAGCAGACCTCTGTCATGCCCATTGCTCCCCTCAGCAGTGCTTTCAGTCCATCTGCCTGTTCTGCTCCCCACGCTGCCTCTGGGGAATGCTCTCACCCTCCGGCGCCTCTGGCCCATACCCCAGCTATTCTATCAACAAAAACTAAATCTTAAAGAAAAAAAAAATTAAAAAAACAAAAAACACCCAACCAAAACACAAAAACATCACCAGGACCATTCCTCACAGCTAGGTGATTAAAACTATTCCCCAAAAGACTAAGATGGGGGCCTCCCCGGTGGTGCAGGGACTGAAGACATCACTATCAAGCTATCAGCAGCCACTGCAGCACAAGTTCAATCCCCAGCCAGGAAGGTGGATCCATATGGAGCAGCGCAGCAGACCTCTCCTGTCTTGCCCGCTGATCCCCTCAGCAATGTATTTCAGTCAGTCTGTCTGTTCTATTCCCCAGTCTCTGGTGAATCCTCTCACGTACCCCAACACCTCTGGCCTGTAGCCCAGTTCTTGTATGCATAAATAAATCAATCTTCTATTAAAAACAACAAAAGACTAAAATATGTGCTGAAGTCCAGAGAATACATCTGAAAACTAACAAACAAACATTATCAGTTTTGGAAAGGAAGAATTGGTAAAGTTAATTTAGCCAAGTTTGTTGTCTACAGACGGTATCTGCCTCATTGCCAGTATATTGGGATCATGGGACACAACTTGGGGAGAAAAACCTGTACAAAAGTACTATAAAAGTATTATAGTTTAAGAGTCTGAAATTCCCTGTAAGGCTTTCAGAGAATTTCCTGAAATTCTCCCTTGCACCCACAGAAAAAAGAGTGGAATCTAAAGGGGAAAAAAAACCCAAATTATGTTAATGAGCATAGCCCTTTTGCTTTATCTCAGTTACTGACTCCCAAAGCTGGGATCCCCCCTCCAACAGCAGAGACAGCCAGACCCAATTAAGTCAATTCCTGTAAGGTAACTATGGCGCACAGGCTCCAACCACTGGACTCACCCAGGCAGCACCTTGAAATCGCCAGGGGAGTGATAAACACCGCACCTGGGTCCCGCGACTGGAGACTGATTTTAACTGTACAGGGTGCTGCCACGGATTTCACACTACTCCCCCAGGTGACTGGACTGTGACGCGAGTGTGCACACAGATCACCTAGGGATCTTGTTAAAGGGCTTAATAAAATAGAATCCTACATTTCTAACAAGGTAGGCGCTCCAGAACACACTCTTCATCACTATACTGGTCAGACAAGATTTACTTTGGAAATCAGGTAGATCCAATCAAGATAAAATAGGGCGGGCCCACAAGCGCCTACACAGATTTAGGCTTATCTAATGGAATAAACAGGGCGCTTTACCTGTCCCTCCCACTCCTGTTCAGAACCGGGCCTCGGGGGACTCAGGCTTCACGCTGCTGTTACATGTGCCCAGGGAGAGCTGAGGCGCATGTTCGCCTCAGTTGTAAGTGAACTTTAATCTGCAGCTGGGAGCGCACACAAATCAGACTGTCCTGGTCTACTCTTACCCCACAGTTAACTTTTTTGTTCTTAGACTTACCGCTGAGGGGAGTAAGGCTAAATCCCTACTTTCAGCAAGCAAATGCGATTTACAGACCCCAATTCCACCCGACTCCTAGAAAGGCAGAGGGTTCCGGGAAAAGTCCAGGTGCGTCTCCTTTTGTGATTAACCTGAAACTGAAACAACTACGGCCCCAAGCTCCCGGGCCGCCAGAGGCGCGTCCGAGCGATTTCGGCGGGAAGCACAACGGCGCTCCCACAGGCCGAGACCCGGGGCTGGGGTACCCGCACTAGGTGAAGGGGACCGCTCGGGCTCCGCCAGGCGACCAACTAACTTCGGGCAGTCCCGGCAGAGGCCGAAGGTCGGACCCAAGTCGCCCCAACCCCAGGCCTGGGCGGGGTCAGCGCGAGCTTCCGGGGCGGCGACGGGACGGAGGGAGGCGGAGAAGAGCCCCGCGCGGGGGGAGGGGAGCAGCGCGAGGTCACAGTGCGAAGGCTGCCGGGAGGCGGGAGGAGCGCCTAGGTCGGGGGTGGGGGGGGGTGGGTGGGGTGGGGTGGGGGCAGGGAGCGGCCAAGACTTCCCGGGCAGAAGGGGGGTGGGGGGGACCGGGCAGGAATGAAGTGAGACAGAGTTCGCCGTCCGGCCTCCCCGAGGCGCGGGGAGGGGCGGGGGGGGGCGGGCGGAGCTCCCAAGTAAGGGGAGCCAAGCAAGGAAAGTTCCCGGGCCCCGCGGGGGGTGGAAGGGTAGCGGCGGGTTTCCGCCTCTGGGGGCGGAGCTGCGGGGGGGGCACTTATTGAAGGGGGGGGCTCCCGGGGCGGAGGGAGCGGGGCTTGGGGAGGAAGTGGGGAGGTCCGCGCCCCGCAGGGGCAGTGGGAGGGCGGGGGTCGCCCGCTGGCGGCAGCTCACCCTACGGGTCCGGGGTCCGGCGCTGGGGCCGCGAGTTGCGGAGTTCGGAGGCCGCGCGCGGGCTGCGTCCCGGAGGCTGAGGCCGCGTGACTGGGAGGGCGGCAGCCGGACGCGGGTCACGGGGTGTAAAGGAGGAAGTGCCACCGGCCGGCCCGCCAACATGTCACCAATGGAAACGCGTTTCGCAGGTGCGGCCCGCGCAGTCGGCCGAGGCAGGAAGTGGGAGGGGAAGAAAGCCAGGAGGAAGAGACCGTTCGGAGCGAGCGCTCAGGAAAGGTGCCAGGATGGAAAGAGTACCAGGGGAGAAGCGGAGCAGATGGGCACTGCTCTTGCAGGAAAAACCGTACAATTTTTAAAAAGCCCTCTCGAAGGCAGTTGGAAGGGAAACTAACGGACAAAGGCAGAACCCTTCTATATATCGTACCTACTGACAGTTTGTAGACTGGGCCATGGGCTCCTAAATATTTTGCATAGCATAAAAATTTTAAAGTCCTTAAACTTTATACCTACCAAGCAATTAATTTTATATCCTGAGAATCCTGTTAGGGGGAAAGGATGTCCTGAACAAAGTTGCCCTGTAACAATTCAGCATTCCAAATGTATGAAATCCTCACACTAAGACACGGAAATCTGACCTATCTTCATAGCATTCAGAAGGCCGTTCCCACCTTCCTGCCTTCACTGATTCCGTAATAAACTCACATTAACTTGTCTGCAACCTAATTCAAATGAACAAACTGGGAAACAATTAGGCAAATGAAGTAATGTCAGCAGTCACTGAATTATTTTCTCTGAAAGAATTATACAAAATTTCAGTTATAATTAGGCTGCTGGAATTTTTTTTTACGATTTATTTATGCATACAAGAGCGAGGGGAGGGTGAGAGGATTCACCAGAGACAGAGCAAGGAACAGAACAGGCAGACTGAGATACACTGCTGAGGGGAGCAGTGTGGGCAGTCAGGAGAGATCTGCTGGGCCATGTGGGGAGCTCCCTGGCTGGGGCTGGACCTTGTGCTGCAGTGGCTGCGAATAACTTCATAGGTTGCTCTCAACCCTTGAGCCACCGGGGAGGACCCAGGCTGCTGTAATCTTTTAAGATGTTATTTAATGGAAGCCCTTGGAGAGTTTACCTGTACCAGAAGAGAACCCTCTACACTGTGTCTCTGATACTGGCCAAACTGTTGTCACTAAACGGTTTGGTTTTCATATAGTGAAAATGCATTTTGGTCTGTACTAATCACAGAAAAAAATATTTTTTTTTTTTTAATAGAGGCATGTTTTATTTATTTATTTATTTATTTGTGTGTTTTGTTTATACATGCACTGGGTACAGTCAGAAGCACGGGAGGGTGAGAGGATTCACCAGAGCCGGAGTGGGGAGCAGAGCAGGCAGAAGGACCGAAGTACACTGCTGAGGGAAGCAGCGGGCGGCAGGAGAGGTCTGCGCGCCATGTGGGACCCTCCTCTGGTGGCCCGGGAGCAGCCGGGGATCGAACCGGCGCCGCAGAGGCCGCAGGCAGCTTCACAACCCAGCGCTCAACTGCTGCGCCACCGGGGAGGCCCCAGAAAAAAATATTTTTAATTAAAAAAAAAAAAAAGTTTAGGGCCTCCCTAGTGGTGACCTAGGGGTTAACTCAGCCTGCAAATGGGGCAGACCTCTCCAGTCTCTCCCACTGCTCCCCTTAGCAGTGTAGTGTTCTGCTCCCCATTCTGTCTCTGGTGAATCCTCTCACCAACCCCCTTCATCCTCTAGCCTATACCCCAGTTTTGCACCAAAAAAATTTTTTTTAGAATCTTCCTAGTAATTTGAGTGGAGGACGTAGGCGTTCAAAGGAACCATGGGCCATGATTTAGTAATTACTGAAGGTGAATAATGGGTACATGTTATATTATAGTTTTTTGTACATTTGACTCACCTAGTGATGAAATTATTTTTAAAAAATTA